GTTTGTAATCATCCAGTTTTAAACATCAGAAACCAAAGAGAATAGCATCTTACATTAAAATGTTCTTTTTAATATAAGAATGTGTCCAATATTTATGAAAGAAATACAATTTTGACAGAAATAACAGAATAAAGTGAAGAGATTTAATATGAGGATTCATGCTAAATCAGAGGTCCTGATGTGAAGCTGCTGCTGTAGGTCATAACCCTTGGTTGTTTTTTTCACCAAGCAAATGAGACCAGTGGCCCTAACAGAACCATGGTACTGGGCAGCAGAAGACCCAGCTGTGTGGAGCAGGATGAGATGCTGAATCTGGGCTTCACCATCGGCTCCTTCTTCCTCAGCGCCGCCACTCTGCCCCTGGGAGTTCTGATGGACAGATTCGGACCACGGCCAATCAGGCTCATTGGAAGGTCTGACACAACGTTCATTTCTGATCATAATCATTTTCCATTAAGATATAACATAATTTCAGCTTCTAGTTCAGCTGCAGCACTTTTGTCCAGAGGTCTCAGGTCAGAGGCAGGCCTGATGACCATAGAGAGATGCCGTTAGACTAGATCAATCCTCTGAATGCTGGTTTAATAAACCCACTGACAGCAGGAACAAACAGAGGAACTGAAGGCATGGCTTATAACCATGAGACTGACATCCATCAATCAGACCAGGGACGGACGGTTCAGAACAGCTTCAGAATATTGATATGAACACGAAACACCTCCACAGCTCTAACTAGAACCTGCTTATATGTATTGTGAGTCTTTCTCTAACTGCTGCAGCAGAGGTTTATTATCCTCTGATATTAGACATTATACAGTACATTCATTATCTGAGGACCAGTTTCTCTTTGAAGGAAGTGCTGGCTTCTCCAACCAATCCCTGCACAGGAGCATTTAGAAAAGACTAAAGTGTGTTTCTAATAGTTCAGATGCAGCTTGGCCTGTTTAAGAATGAAAAGCTCAGCCAACAATGTGTTTGTTTCAGTTCCTGTTTTGCAGCATCCTGTGCAATGATAGCTGCTGCTGCATACGACCCTGAAGGTGAGACACTAAAGCTGTGAAGCTTTGGCTTCCAGCTTCACTCCTTCAATGTTTCAGCCATCTCCTGGTCAGCCTGTGTGTGAAGCTGCTGTGATGTGTCTCATTTTTCCATCAGTGCTGTCTGTCCTCATTTTCTTTGCTGTTTCCTTCAACGGGTTTGGAGGAATCTGCCTGACCTTCACATCTCTCACAGTGAGACTCATTTTCATAAACACAAACACATATGTTTGGAGGGACAACCAAACACATGGCTGCTGCTGCTGCTGGATGTGTGTCAGGGTTGGTGGATGTTGTTGTGAACCCAACTGCAGAGTAGGAGAGGCAGACATGATTACTTGGGAAATTTAATGAAGAAATAAAAATACAGAATCCATAATCCAGAACTGACCGACTAGAAAACGGAAGGAAAAACTCGTATAAATTAGGAAGCATAAACCTAAAGAATGACAAAGATCCAGCTGTGAGGAACTGAACAGGAGCTGTTCATATGGGAGACAGAAACATGGGAGGAATAGTTAGCTGATAGGGAGCAGGTGGGGACAGGTAGCTAGAAGGAGCCGTTGGATAAATTATGAGCATGTGGAAAATGCTGAAACACGCTGGCAGACGTTGACATCGGACATGTAAGTAGAGAAATTATAAACATGCTCAAAATTTTCTTGAAGTATGCCAGCGTAAGCCATCCGTGGGCCATCAGTTCCAGGTCAGTTATCTGATGGTTGACATCCATTTAGTGTCAGTTCCTCATCAGTCGTGGCGTCTAGCTGATCCTAAACCTCTGAGTAACTTGTGCATAACTTCTGCGTAACTTATCCAGAACTTCTCTCCAACGCATATCAAGGTATCTGAGGTGTTCCAGACGAGCGCTGAACGTGTTTCTAACTTCCAGCTACTGTATAATGGCGTATTGGCAGCGTTTTGGTATAAAGGGGGGTCACAGGAGGAAACCGTCAGTTCTCCTCCAGACTTCATCCCCATCATAGGGGGAGCCAGAAGGTGAGGGTGATGGATCCTCCCTGCGTTCACCCCCACCACCAACAAACTTCCTAGCAGACATGACGCTCAATCTGCTGCCACCAAAAAACTTATTTCTTTATCCTTTTTCTCTTATTCTTTTTTGGTGGGGGGTAAACAGCAGCGAGGTTAATACTGCGATCAAAGAAATCTTTTCTGCTGGCCTGGTGCCTCCCAGAGCATCACTGCCCCCCTCAGGACACTGGGTTGTGCATCATTTCATGGGCATTACGCTGCCGTGCGTTATACATAAGTTAGGCTGTTGTTGGACAGAAGTTCTGGCCTCGTTATGAATAATCTATGTATACGGCCAAAATTGAAAAAATCCATAGAAAGTTCAGCGTATGCCAGCGTTTTAGGAGATTCCTAGAACATCGGGCATACGCTGGATAAATCAGCAAGATGTGACTGGAGCTTAAAGGAAAGGAAAGGACACTATGGGTAATAAATATATGGGAATATAATTCACAAAATAAGGAATGACAAAGGGAAAAAACTAGACCATGAGAGAAGGAACGCAAGATCACTGAAGCCATGGAAAACCTCACTCAAATATAAGAGAAAGAATAACTATAACTAAAACTAGACCAAGGAAATTCTGCAGAAAAAGATAACCAGGAAGAGCAGAACTAAGAATACCAAAATGATCTAAATCTAGAGAACTACACAAAGTCTCTTCACGCCATTTGAGAGCAACAGTTATTTGTTTTCTGGAGTTTTTCCACAATCTATTGATAGTGGAAAGCTCTATCAACAGCTCTGTGTCTACACCTTGAAGCTTTCGCTCTCCGCTTCTTTTTTTCTAAAAAAAAGATCAGTCGAGACAAACTCTTTAAATAACACTTCATTATGTAAATGTTTTAAGTAACCAGGAGACATGAAAACAGATTCTGATAAAAATTGTAATCTTACTCAGATCAGAGAAGTTGATTAGAGTTACAGACGGCAGCTGCTGACCAAACGGGCTCACATCTCAGAAAGTGGCCCCGATTAACAGCATTCTATACCACTGCAGTCTGCCACATCATCACATCATCACATCAT